ACCTGTTGGGTTAGGGTCAGATCAGCCTTAAGTTGGTCTGGGGGTGGATTCAGGTTGGATCTGTCTCCTACCAGGCCCAACTCGTTAACATATATTGAAACATTTATAAATATATCCTTAGTTCACTATAGGTATACTATGTGTGTAATGAGGTGGAGTAGGTTTGGTATCTTACGTCATTTGGTGGGGTTGGGTCGGATTTTAATGTGCTTTCATATCAGGTTCAGTTTGAACAAAAGCCCATTACCAAACCCAACCCTTTGACATCTCTACACCTGTTGCTTGTTTGAAGAATCTGGAATATCACAAATAAAATTATGGCTAAACTAAATGTTAGTTTAATCAGACCACCTTTAACCATATGATTTAATTATGATCCATCTAATAGTGGGTTTTGATACTCAAGAATGGGATGGATGGAAAATTCTGGGGCATTGTCCATTTAAATCCAGATTCTAGCATCCTCCAGATTTAGCTTTTAAAGGAATTTGGATAGTATACTAGAATCTGAGTTGTGGTCAAATTGTGTTGTGGTTCAGTTTTTATGGCCTTAATTATAGAAACCAAGCTAAGGAATGTCTTGATCTTAGAAATTAGAAAATCCTTTCCTTGGGTGTTATCTTCAGTTTACTGAATCCAGAAACTTGTAGATTCCTGGAGTTACCATTGTTAATCTCATTTCCTTCAGTTTACTAAATGTCAGTTTCTTCCTTCTTGTGTGAGGTTTCTGTGAGAAGAAAGAAACTGCTGCGATTGCTAATCTCATTTCCCTAGATTCTTGTTTAGATGTATATTTTGATATATGTAAAACAGGCATTCTAGCAGACCTCTTCTTGGCTTCTTGCTTCTTATTCTCCAGTACGTTTAGGGGCTTGACCCCTTTTCTCCTTTGATTTGTAAAACAGGAGTTCTGCCCTTCATCATCATCATCTTCATCTTATTATTAACATTTTATGACAAAAAAGGGGTCCTACCCATTGTTTTGTTCTTTTATATATTTTCCATTGCTCCAACCATATATTTGATATTTCTACAGTTACATGTGTGTAATTTTCATCTGGAAAAGGACAGAACCCATGCATATAACGCCAGAAATCAAAGAGAAGTAATGAAGGTCTAAAAACACAAGAAACGATTAACTTCTTTTTCTTTATTTATTTTATTTTATTTTTTTTTTTTTGAGGGGTGGGGGGAGGTGAGGGGGTGCTTAGGGGAAAAAATATCCTTGTAGATGGCTGAGAGAGAGAAAGAGATAGAAATGTTTGAATTGTCGAGAAATGGTTCTGAAGCAGAAGCACAATAGATAGGCACTTTTGTACTAAGTCGAGATCCTCCTATTTGTATGGTTTTGTTCAAGCCTTGGATGAATGTTTATGCCAGTAAGATAATCTCTACTGCAGAAATCTTTTTAAGGCTTCTTTAACAAAGCTTGGGGATGAAATTAAAACAACATGGGGAGGTTGCAACTTGCAAAGGCTGTATTGCACAAAATGGTTATATGGAAAGCCTGCAATCTAAAGGTGATGAAGGTGTAGGAACTGGACCCAACTGGCTTGATTTAAACTGCCAACTAATAGAGATCACAACAGTTGTTGCGAAATCATAGCCAATTCAATGGCTTATGAAGAATCTGAGAAGATTCAATTCTTACACTGGTTTAACAGTGTGACATTGGTTTACACTAGGACAATAGTTGGGTGTGCATATAGACAAAGAAACATTAGTGGTGATACATCAACACCATTACCATTACAGCTATGTTCAGTTGCTCAGCAGTGGCAGAAAGTATGAAGTATCATTAAAGCTTTGTACTTGGATTCAGAAGTAAAGTTGCAGAATGTAACTACAGAACGTAACTACAAATAGTGGTCTAACCAATATTATAAAACTTCTGCAGAAGCCAAAGAGGACTGACACCATGGGAATTCAAAGCAATGATTACAAATATAATGGAGTTGCATTGTAAATTTGAGTTAACTTCTTTCCATTAGGTCCCAAGAGTATTGAATGCTATTGCTCATGCTGTAGCAAAAGAACTAAGGGCCCGTTCGGTTCGCAGGAATAGGGGTCTGGAATCAGAATCGGAATGGGCCATTCCGATTTCCGATTCCAACTGTTTGGTTGGGCGGAATTGGAATCCCATACCCATTCCTGATGGAATGGCATTCCCCCATTTGAGGGAATGATCATTCCCTCCCCCTCCCTTGGGAATGAAATCCCATTCCAGCTGATTCCAATTCCTATCTGAACCAAACAGACTACGGGAATAGACCATTCTGATTCCAATTCCGAAGGATTTCAATTCTGATTCTGATTCTGACTGAACCAAATGGACCCTAAATGGTTTGAATTGGCATTCCACCCGCATGTATTGCTAACATTGTTGTGGTCCTCAGTCCTCTTCCCAAACTGATTATGAGTCCTATAAAACAAAAGAGGTGAAGACAATTGGTATGTTTGAAAAAATAAAGCTTTAGTAATTAGTAAATAGACTAATAACATACAATCATAATTATACTTCTGACATGCGATGTATGCAGATATATAGTCTTCTATTCCGAACTAGAATTTGGCGGTAGAATCTAGTAGAATCTGGATTCTAAAATGAATATTCAGACAGGTATCCAAACTAGATCCAAGATTCTAGAATCAAATTTCCAAGATGTGATTTTGAAAACATTTTTAGAATCAAGAACCTTATTCTGAACTGCTATCCAAAAAGGCAGTTTATCATATGGAAGGGCATAGTTCTAGTTCTGCGAGAATCCACAAAAGAAAAGGAAAAGAAATCTTCCCTTCCTCCATTATGAATTGGGTTTAAAGAGTAAATACTTGTTTGAATATAATGTTACATATTCATTTGCTCGAAAGAACAAATGTCATGCAAATAACAAGCATAAGAATGTGTGTAATTCATTGTTCCTGTGCCTACTTACTGTTTTCTGTTCTTTAAAGTGATACAGGATAGATTAGAACAGGAATTGCATCTTCCCTAGTTGTTTACTTGCCTATGGCTGTATAGCATAAATAAGATGGTGACTTTCCAAAATACCATGCATATTATCAAGGGCTTTTCTGTTTTTTGATCAATACAATACCTTTGCTTTAAAAAAAAAAAAAAACGTCGTCATATAATGTTTTTATTTGTTTTTATGCAGAATTCTTGTTAAGTTTTCAACTGAACTCCATTTATTTGTTTGAGATTCTTATTAGATGAGGCAATTGACGGAGAAGGAGCAGTTGATTTTGCGTCTAGAGAAACAATATCCAGGTGATATTGGTGTTATATCAGCTTTCTTTCTCAACTATGTGAAGCTTAATCCCGGCGAAGCATTGTATCTGGGAGCAAATGAACCTCATGCATACATCTTTGGCGAATGTATAGAATGTATGGCAACTTCAGACAATGTTGTTCGTGCAGGCCTCACCCCCAAATATCGGGATGTCCACACTCTTTGTTCCATGCTGACATACAGACAGGTAAGACCTTAGCAGTAGCCAGTTAAGTAACCATATTTGAACCCCCCCCCCCTCCAACCACCACCAAAAAAATAAAAAGGAAAAGAAAAAGAAACTCTACTGTGTTACCATTCGGTCACACTGGCTACACCTAATTCATTGGTTCCTGCAGGGCTTTCCTGAAATTCTGCAGGGGGTTCCCCTAAATCCATACACAACAAGATATCTTCCACCCTTTGAAGAATTTGAGGTTGATCGATGTGTTCTTCCCAAGGGGGCATCAGTAAAATTTCCTGCAGTTCCAGGACCGTCCCTGTTTGTAGTCACAACAGGAAGGGGGACAATACAAACAGAGTCATCCAGTGCTGATGCAATTGTGGAGGGTTGTGTTCTTTTTGTGCCAGCAGATACAGAACTTGGTGTAACTGCCATGGATGGTTTACAACTATACAGGGCTGGAGTTAATAGCAAATTTTTTGAGCACTAAAATCAGAACACAGAAGGTAGCAGCATGCTTTGTCGTGCTGCCCCCTGGTCTATGTATGTATTATAGGAGTTAGCAACAATACAATAGTGAAAGGAAAGTTACACGAATAACAGAGGGTATTTATTACATGATGAGTGATGATCCACCCTGGTATGCTATTGTTGTGTGCTCACAGTACACATTGTATGCTTGTTTTGTGGCTTTTCCATGATTATCCCATCTTTTGTCTGGGGACACAGGGGATATTTCCCTTTTTCTCTTGTGATTTTAGGACAATGTAAAGGGAAAAGGTGAGGGTTGACATGATGCAGACCATTGATACAATGAGAAACATTTGAATTACTGTACCCAGGTTTCTGTTTTCATGTATTCAATGCTTCACTGTTGTATTGCATTTTCGTCTGTAAATTGATGACTTTCTCTTCTTCTTTTTTTGAGAAAGGTAATGCATTATAAAAGGCAAAAACAAGACATAAAGCCCTGGTCAAAAAGAAATAGAACCAGGGGAAGGAAACTAAAGAGCTGATCACACTTCTGATCTAGATACAAAAAGATTTCTATGATCAAAAAAAGAACTGAAAGATAAATCCTTTAGCTGTCTATACACTGCAGTCCATGAGTAAATTCTTCCCCATAAGATTTTTAAAATTGTATCATCTGTTTGTATTTGTTTTCAAAAATTCTCCTATTTCTCTCAGTAGAGATAGTTGATAGACTATTAGTGTGTGTGTGGTTCCAACCCCACACTTTATTTTTACTGTTTATTTCTTTATATTACAGTTATGATAGTTGGGCCGATTGGGCCATATTTGTTTTCTTTTGTTTTTTAAGTAGGGGTATTAGAGTAACTCTACTTCTTGTAAAGTTATAAATATAAATAAGATTCAGTGGAGTGGCAAGAATAATTTAACCGCACCCTTTCTCTTCGAAACTAGGTTAACTTTTCTTCCTCTTTCTAAATTACATAAAAAAACATATCGTTTTTCTTATTCTTTTATTCAAGTTGGTATCAGAGCAAGGCGAAGAAAGATTAGGGTTCTCATGTGAGTCTAATCTGGTCGGTTACATGAAAACTCTTTAGAACTGGATTTTCTGCGGTAGTGCCTGGTTCTTGGAGGTTGTTGGAGTATTGGAGACTCCCCAAGGAGTTGAAAGATTCTTGGAGATTGCCCGGTGACCAAGAAGAATCAAAGAAATCATATTTGACCAAGATTAGGGTTTCAATTTGAGGTGGCGACCAGTTTTCTTCTAAGAAAGGTACAATCTTTAGCAAAGTCGATCTTGGTTTGAAGTAGTTTAATCCTCTCTATAAGCAGTGGCTAATAAACCCTAGTATTATTCCCTGTTGTTTTCTCCTTTTTAAACCCTACGATACGATGAGTTTCTTGGGGACTCAAAGACTGATTTTTTTTATTGTTGATGAACTAGGGAGTTGATTATTGACTATGGATGCTTTCTTGGAAAGTGATTATCGACTGAGACTGAATTTTTTTATGGTTGTTCCTAACTGTTAATAAATTATAGGTTAGTTTGTCTTTCAATTTCTTAGGGTTTCAGCATAAAAGAAGTTCCTTTTTGGGTTATTTTCATGAAGGTTTGACTGGTTAGTGTTCTACATAAGAACGCTGGAAATGAGTTAAAAACTCAAGGGGAAGGATTTTTATGGACCGGTAATATGACTAAAAAACTCTTTTCGGGTTACCACTGTTAGGTTTGACGGAACCAATTATTTGGAATGGGCCCAATCTACAATGGTGGCCATTGGAGGTAGACGTAAATTAGGTTATGTGACTAGAGATACAAAGAAATCAGCCAAGGATGACATTACATCCCAAATGGGTTCAAGAGAACTATTTGGTGGTGACTTGGCTAAACAACTCTATGCAGCCTCACATCAGCTGAAACTACTTATAGGCAAAATAGCCAAGGAGATTTGGGATACCATGAATGAAACATACTCCCAACCTCTTAATATTGCCAGAGCTTATGAGCTGAAGTGTGAAGTGAATAATCTCAAGCAAGGGGAGAAGCCAGTCTCAATGTACTTTGCTACTGTAAAATCCCTATGTCATGAAATTGATCACTTGAAAACTATTGAGTGGGAAAGTCAGAGGGATGTAGCAACATATAGAAAGTTGGTTGAAACAAATAGTGTTTAAGTTCTTAACTAGTTTGAACTCAGATTTTGACATCGTAAGATAACAATTTCTTACTAGGGAGAGTGACATTATCTCAAGCCTACTCATTGGTTCACAGTGAGAGAGTAGGAGAAATGTTATGTTATCATATCAGCCTATAGAATCAGCCTTAGTAGCAACAAAACCTAAGGTTGGAGGGGAGAAGGAAAGGGAAATAAAAAAGGCAGATAAAAGAGACATTTTTTGTGATCATTGCAAGAAACCAAAACATATCAGGGACACTTATTGGAAGTTGCATCCCCACCTAATGCTAGTAAGACTCATAAACAAGAAGGGAAGTGCTAATGTGGCAGTTATTATAGGCAATGCATCCACTTTCAGCACAAGGACCACATCCTTAGATGCTTTAGTTGTTGTCTGGGCTGCCTTGACACAATTAGAGAGTGAAGCTGGTATTTTTGGGTCATCATCTCAGCCTTTAGCTACTACTTCTTCTAATCCTACTTTAGCCTTTGCTCACTCAGGTACAAGAGCTACAGCATATCATACTTCAGCCCCAGGTAACAACACTAAACCCTTCTAGGTAATAGATTAAGGTATTTCTGACCATATGACTAGTTTACCACCTATTGTTTATCCTCTGACAGAGACAAAGTGTCTATTGTTGATGGCGCCCTTGTACCTATTTTCGACAATGGAGACATTAGATTGTCTGATGCCATTTCCCTATCCTCAATTTTGCATGTCCATAAGCTTAGTGCTAACTTGCTTTTAGTTAGTAGTATTAATAAGAATCAAAACTGTTTAATGACCTTTTTCCCTAACCGTTGTGTTTTTCAGGATATGGAAACAAGGAAGGTGATTGGGATTGGACGTGAGATGAATGGAGTTTACTTGCTTGAGCATCCACAGAGAAAGGAGAGTGAAGTTGGGAGATTGTTTGTTTCTCAGTCTTTGGGATAGATTATGCTTTGACATAACTGATTAGGTCATTTGTCTTTTGGGTCTTTGAGGAGTTTATTTCCAAATTTGTTTGAGTCAATCCAAGTGTCTAGTTTGAGGTGTGAAAGTTGTGAGCTTGCAAAACATTGTACATCAACTTATTCTTTGAGCAATAAAAGAAGCAATCTTCCTTTTAAAATTGTGCATACAAATGTTTGGGGGCCATATCATATTCCTACTATGGGGGCGTACAAATACTTCTTGTTATTTGTTGATGATTATACATGTTTCTCGTAGGTTTATCTTATGCATTCTCAAGATGAGGTCCCCTCTCTGACCCAGGCTTTCCATCAAATGGTACTAACCCAATTTGAAATCAAGATCAAAACTCTCGAATATGATAATGCCAATGAGTACTTTGCAAAACCCTTGGCATCATATCTCCTAGATTATAGAGTCATTCATCAGAGCACTTGTCCCCGTACACCTCAACAGAATGGAATTGCTGAGAGAAAAAAATAGACATATCTTGGAGGTAGCCAGAAGCATCGTGCTCAACTCTAATGTTCCCATACACTTCTAGGGGGATGCAATCTGTACAGTTGTTTACCTTATTAACAGAATTCCTTCACAGGTTCTAGACATGAAAACAGCTTTCAACATTCTATATCCAGACAAGGACATGTTCACTATTCCCCTTTAAACTTTTGGGTGTATTTATTTTGTTCAAATCTTTGGACCTAATCGCTCCAAATTTGATCCAAAAGTTGTTAAATGTATTTTCCTTGGGTATGCACAAAATCAAAAGGGGTATTACTATTATGATCCTATTTTGGAGAGATGTTTTATGTCCATGGATATCACCTTTTTTGAGGATATGCCCTACTATCATAAGGCTTCTCCTCAAGGGGAGAGTAATGAGGAAGGGATTCCAGCCCCAAAAGTTTCATTACCGATTCCAGTTACTGAGGGGGAGTGTCCTGAAGTGGGTTGTTAGAAATGCATGGAGTTGAGAATGTATCATAGATAGTGGTGAAGGCAGGTTGATTCCCGTCCTCAAAAATCAAGGCCAATCCCAACATGTTCTACAACTTCAAATCTAGACACTACTCCCACTGTTGCAGACACTTAGACTAACACTATTGAGCCTCAGCCTCTTCCTTTAGATGACCTTGATCTCCCAATTACAATTTGTAAAGGGAAGCATCGTTATACTTCACTACTGCTCATTGTCTCACATTTCCTTTCTTAAAATTGTCTCTCAGAATCCTATAGATCTTTCTTGGCATCTATTGCTACTATTCCTATACCCAGAACAGTGCAAGAAGCTCTATTGATACCTGAGTGGAAGGAAGCGGTGAAAGTAGAAATTGATGCTCTTGTTTAAGAACAATACATGGAAACTAGTTGACCAGCCTAAGAAGAAGAAACCTGTTGGATGGTTCTATAGAGAGATATAAGGCCAGATTAGTTGCAAAGGGATTCACACAAACTTATAGCATAGATTATATGGAAACATTTGCACCAGTTGCCAAAATGAACACTATCAGAGTTCTGCTATCTATTGCTACAACTTCCCATGGCGACTGTTTCAGATGGATGTCAAGAATGCATTTCTCAATGAAGATTTACAAAATGAGGTGCATATGGAGTTACCCCCTTGTTTTTACAGTACAGAAGCAGGAAAGAAAGTTTGTCGACTGAAGAAGGCTTTATATGAGCCGAAGCAATCTCCAAGAGCTTGGTTTGATTGGTTTAGACTAGCTTTGAAAAAGTTTGGTTACATGCAAGCTCAGTCAAATCATACTCGCTTCCTTAAGAAGACAAACTCCTTGACTTTACTTGTTGTCTATGTGGACGACATTGTGGTGGCGGGAAGTGATATTAGTGAGATTGAATCCCTTAAGCAGCATCTTCACAAAGAATTTGAAGTGAATGACTTGGGGGAATTGTGATATTTCCTAAGAATTGAGGTAGCTCAATCTAAGCATGGCATTTTTATCTCTCAAAGAAAGTATGTCCTTGACTTTTGGAAGAAACTAGAAAGTTATGACTAAAGTCTGCTAACACACCCATTGAATTGAACCATAAAATAAGTGCAGAAGGTGGAGAACTTCTTGAGGATTGGGCTATATATCAGAGGTTGGTTGGGAAACTTCTTTATCTTTGCCTAACACAACCAGATATTTCATATGCTGCCAGTGTTGTTAGTGAGTACATGCATTCTCCTAGGACCACTCACCTTCTTGCGGTGGAAATGATACTTGCTTACTTAAAGAGATGCCCAATGAGAGGCATACTCTTCAAAAATAGT